TATCAGGAGGGGCCAGTCTCTGGAGAAGGATATCATGTTTGGTAAGGTGGAGGGTCAGAGAAAAAGAGGAAGACCCCCAGCGAGATTGATTGGCCAAGTGGCAGCATTGATGGACTCAAGTATGGCAACAGCAGTGAGGTTGGCCCAGGATCAGGCAGTGTTTCGTTCTGCTGTGCATAAGGTCACCATGACTCAGGACCGACTCTATGGCACCTAACAACAATAACAATACATGTGGGGAAACCCTGGTGGCACGGTGGGCTGCTAACTGCAAGGTTGGCGGTTCAGACCCACGAGCTGCTCTGTGGGAGAAAGATGAGGCTGTCTGCTCTTATAAAGATTTACAGACTCAGAAACCCTAAGGAGCAGATCAATTCTATCCTACAGGGTCAGTTCAACTCTGTCCTATGGGGTCCTGGTGAGTCAGAATCAACTCTACAGCTGTGGGTAGACTGGTGGTATGTATGGAGACTAGTCTGCGCTGCGTGTCTGGTCCACCAGGGGGCAATGTTGTTGTTGTTGGTGGTGGTGGTGGTGGTGGTGACGGCGGTGGGTGCCTTCCAGTAGATTTCTATTCATAGGGACCACATGTGACAGACTTGAACTGTTCTATAGGGTTTTCTAGGCTGAAATCTTTAGAGCAGCAGATCAGCTGCCTTCTCCACGGAGCCTCTGAGTGAGTTCTAATGCTAAACTTTCAGTTAATAGCCAAGCACATTAACCATCTGCACCACCCAAGAACTCCTCTTCTTTTGCATAACATATCTTACAACTTGATTTTGCTACTGCTGACTCATCCTCCTGAACATGATTGTCCTGTGTCAGGTGCTGGACTGATTCTGCTAGGAATGGTGATCAAACTGAAGCTGTTCCAAATTCCCAAAGATCCCCCGCCACGTCCAGCTACTGTGGTCTACCTGACCTTGTCCATGGGGAACAATCCTGACTTCTAGGGGTTGAAGGCTCCAGGGATTGTCCATTTGTGACATTTGCAGCTCTCTGATTACATGTGCTGCCTTTGCGGATTGTCAGACGGGCTTTGGTCAAACATCTTGTCCTGCTCAGTTGAAAGGAACTTTTCTAAATAGGAAGTTTCTCAATGATCAAACTTTTCCCCAGCTGTTATTGTCCTGTTCACTGCCTATGAGTCAGATCCTGTATAGGGTTTCTGAGGAGTAGCCAGTGGGTTTGAACCAGAGACCTTGTGGTTAGCAGTCCAGTGCTTATCCTACAGAGCCATAATATCTGGAAAAAAAAATTCTCTTGCCTGAAGTTAGTTATGGGTTTTTTGTTTTGTTTTTTAAATCTTGACAACTTCCCTCTTCCATGCTCTAGAATCTTAACCTTTTTTTTTCAATGCTAATTATAACTGTTGTTGTTGTTGTTGTTGTTATGTGCCGTAGAGTCGGTTCCAACTCATAGCAACCCTGAATAGCGTTTCTGAGGCTATAAATCTTTATGGGAGCAGAAAGCCTCATCTTTCTCCCACGGAACAGCTGGTAGTTTCGAACTGCTGTCCCTGAGATGTGCAGTCCGATTCGTAACCACTACGCTACCAGAGCTCCTTTAGCTAATATTTCTTGCCTGTCTACTATGCTTTCACTATTATATTTATTTAATCATCATAACAATCTTAGGAGGATATTAGCCCCATTTCATGGATATGGAAACTGAGGTTTGAAAAAGCTATTTGTCCAAGATTACACAGCTTTTGACAGTGCCAGGATTCAAACCCAAGCCAGCCTTAAATCAAAGCCTGTGATTATATTTACAGTGCCAAGCTAACAAAGTCCTGGGTCAGGGTTAGGGAACCCTCACAGCTGTATCTGTTATTCCAGGGATGCTCTAAAGTTGGGCTCAAGCAAGCCCTGGCCAGAGGTCCTCAAGACGCTGACCGGAGAGTCCCAGATGTCAACAAAGGCCCTCGTGACCTACTTCCAGCCCTTGATGAACTGGCTGGTTGCTGAGAATGTGCGGCAGGGGGAGACCCTGGGTTGGCCAGAATTCAACTGTTACTTTAAAGGTTTGATTTTTCTGGCCCTGGTGCCAGGTTTGATCCAGCCCAGGCCCCTGCCACGACCCTGCCTTAATCCCTAGCCCATCTATGACCTGAATCGAATAAGCACAGTGCTGTTGTGACCCCGCCACAGCCCCAGCCCCTGGCTCCATTGTTTCCTTGGACACTGATTTACTAGCTAGAGAAGCAGGCTGATAACTGCGCATAAGGTCTTACTTACCTCTTAATCCTTGCACAGAGCCACTGCTGGGCTCCTTGGGGTCTGCAGCCCTATCCCTTCCCATCTCCTCCTTCTACTCCTCTTTCTCACCCTCTTTCTAGGGCAATGCCCTCACCTATGCCTTGGAAGTAGGTACCTACGGCTGAGGGAGAGCGCCAGTGGAAGTCAATCCTACACAGGCCCCTCTCTCCCTTGTTCCACTTGTTCTATGAGTTGCTATATCTTCCACAGGAACAGAGAAGGACACGGTGCCATTTTTGGGTCTGGAGCTGGACAGTGACCAGGCCAAGATGGGTCAATGGGTGCTGCTGGTGCTGAGCCTTGTCATGGTCCTCATGGTCCTGTTGCTGAGCCAAAGGCTATATACCCTATATAAAAAATCAACAGCTGAGGACACTGAGGCCTACTTCCTGGGCATGGCCATGGAGCCCCACCAGGCTGCCCAGGGTCAGTGTATACTGTTAGGCCTCTGTATCCTCCTATTGGTGTGCTCAATCAGCCTGGCCATCAAGATTTTCATACAGCACAACGAGAAGCCTCCATGGATGACATCTGAGTGGTGGGGCCTGAACTAGACATCAGCGTCAGTGAGAATGGTAAGGCAGAGAGAGGTAAGAGGAGGGTGACCAAACCAGAGAGGGCTTGGGGAACAAAGATGGGGACAGACTACAAGTCAGTACAGCCAGACAGAAAGCTGGGCCCATATTGGGTTGTAATTATGATTGCAAACTCATGTATTCTAGGCCAGGCACACAAGCAATTGTGTGATTTCATATACACCCTGGGTGTCAGCCCAACCCCCTCCCCCCCAGGGGCTCAGGAACCACAATTTTGGTGATCCAGTGGCTCTAGCCAATTCATCCTTGAGATTGCCTCTTCACACAGCCTCTTTTCTTCAGGAGTCCTGCCATGGGCTGGGCTGGGGCTGCGGAGCCTTAGGAGTCTCCACTCTGGTTAGAAAAAGGACACTTCTGCCCCCTTATAAAATGTGCTCAAGTAGAACAGACATTCCTTTACAAATCTTTGGTGGCCAGTTCATAAGCAGCTGACCTACCTCTCTGCTGATTCTCAGGCCATCCCAAGTCAGGCAACGTAATCCAGTCCCAAAAAGCTCCTGAGATGCAAGTAGCTTCACAAACTGCCCTGCGGTCCTCCCAGCCCCAGCCCAGGCCCTCCGGAGTGGAGACAGTGGGTAGCTGGGCACCAAGCCAGGCCTGATTAATGATTGACTTCTTTAATATTTAAACAAAGCTCATCTCCAGCCACTCTGCTCCGGAGATGACCCTGTTCAACACACACACCTGCTGCCTGGCCCGTTGCCCTGGAAAGCAAGCAGAGGGCAAACAGCACCTTTCCAGGCTCAGTGGGGGAGGGGTGGGAAGGGAGGGCTATAGGAAGACATGTGAGAATGAGTGCACTAGGTTTAAGCCGGAGAAGGGAGGGAGGATGCTCTAGCGGGGTCTGCCAGCCACGACTATGCCACACCCAATATCTGGGGGATTACCAAATCTGGAGTGAGGCCCCAGTGGTCCCTGAGGAACCTAGGGGGTGGGAGCAAGTCAGTGTCTCTCAGAATTTGGAGGGAATTTGAAGCAAAGTAGTATCACAGCCAGTACCCACAGGGAAAGGGTACCAGGGGCAGCATCTGAGCTGGTGAAAGGGTGACCAAAAGAAGGAACCAGCTTCCTTTAGAGTAAGAATCTGAACCCAGAAGTCAGGAGTCTAGTGGACAGAGGTATCTCTTCTGGGACCTCTGTGGACCCTACGTTTGCTCAGATTTTGAGATACAGGAGGTCCTGGGTGGTGGAAATGGGTAAGCAAAAGGTAAGCAATTCAATTATACTCAGAGACCTCAGAAGAAAGGCCTGGTAATGTACTTCTGAAAGGTTATATATCCTATATACAGTTCTACTCTGAAACACATGGGGTTACCATGTGTACCAGAATTGACTCTACGGGAACCGGTTTGGTGTTTGTTTGTTTTTTTCACCACAAGTTATAATTGACCTAAGCACTGACCATTCCAACTCCAGGATCCACAGCACCCTCATTTGATGTCTCTGTCACTGCTCTTAGCTTGCTGTGGCATAGTATCCAAATTTGTCCATTTCTGGTTGTTAGTTCTGTAAGGACAGGACCTAGAGTGTGCCTCCTATGTAACACCGGGTGCCCACCCAGACCAGGGCACAGAGAGGGAAACTGGAGAATGTTGGAATGAGTGAATACATGAATGAATGGATGTCTCCCTGACTAAGTCCTCCCTTAGAGCTCAGCACTTGCAGACTGAGCCCAGGAGAAACATCCCCACCTTTCTTCCACAGCCAGCCTGCCCTTGTACACACAGGGGCAGCCAAGACACCTCTGCCCCCCCAGGAGGCCACACTTGCAGCCCTTCCATCCCTCCTGACAGTGGCCAATGAGGCCCCCACAGGGCATTGTGGCTCTTCAAGGCAAAGGCACAGTCAGCACAGGACTACAAGTCTCTCACCTGGACTCCAGCAAACACCTCACTGAGTCTCCTTGTCCGCCTTCCCTCCCCAACTCACTTTGTAAAGTTTATTTAACCAGAATATTCCTTCATGTCTAATTTCCTGAAAACTTGACTTTTACCAAGTTAAATCATCATCAATTAAATCTAGATGTTGAAAATGGTATCTGAGGATCTTTATCAACATTCCTTTTTCTCGGATCTCACCTTTCTTACCCTCAGCTCAGTCCCTAGACACTGACCCCCTCCCCATCAGCCTTTACTTTTGGTGCATGTTGTTGATGTCAAGTGCTGTAGAGTAGATTCTGACCCACAGCAACCCTGTATAGGGTTTCCAAGGAGTGGCTGGTAAGTTTGAACCACCGACCTTGCAGTTCAAATCCACTTTGCAGTCCAACACATTAACCCACAGTGACACACTGAAATGTTTGTCCTCTATGACCTGGTCCAAGTTCGTCACTGGACCCTCTGTAAAGCTTAAAGCCATGATATGTCCAGCAAACAGTGGTCCTTTCTCCTCTCCAAGAATTCTCTTTCCATAAACCTTACCCTCTCCCCATCTGCTACTTGGAGTTTATGTTATGTCAGATTATGTCAGTTGGCACTCAGCCACTTTTATTGGTAGCAACTTGCTAATTGGTGGTTTTAAATACGTTCTCCTTCCCAGCGTGGCTGGATGTGCTGAGAGCTCTCCGGCTTCTGGTGAAGGCACTTTATTACTTATTTCTTTTATGCTTTCGCGTGTACTCCTTCCCCACCATCCCTGGAGGGAGCATTGCGTAGGCACCAGGCACCGGGGTCAGTCGAAGGGCACTCGCACTCGACACGGGGCAGGCAGGAAGCCTAATGGGCCCAGCAGTCAGATACAGCGAGAGCAAAGACCTCCTGAGTCCCCCCCAAAAAAAACCCTTCTGCCCGCCTGCTCACCTGCATGGGAAAGAATATGAGAGACACTAAGGCCACCAGACTTTGTGGCAAAAGCAGAAGTGTTTTAGAGAAGCCCTGTTTCATTCCAGCCCAGGACCCCAGCCCCGCCTCCTAGAAGTCAGAGCCCCGCCCCTGCCCCGTCCATTTGGAGAGAGTTGCCCCCACCTGGCCGACCCTGCCCCGCCTCCGACTCGGTTGCCGCGCGCTTCTTTCAGCACCAGGGCGCGGACAGCTCCCGGGCGGGCGCCAACAGGAGGAGGCGCAGAGAGCCGCGGGCAGGGGAGAGTGAGGAAGGCCAAGGCGGGCGGGAGCCCTCCCCGGGGCGGAGTCCACTGAAGCTGGACAACGCTGAGCCAGAGCACAAGCGGAGTCGCCGGGAGCTGGGGGCCCTGGTAGCTCCGGGCAGGGATCACACCGGAAGGATGCCGGTTCGCAGGGGTCACGTCGCGCCCCAAAACACTTACCTGGACACCATCATCCGAAAATTTGAGGGGCAGAGTGAGTGTGTTTGTTGGGATAGAGGGGCGGTCTGGAGTTCCTGGGGAGATCTGGAGCGACCGGACCCCTTTACAAACTTCGAATGGCGGGGGAAGGCGGGGAAGAGGGGCGTGCCGCATGCTGGGAGCGGAAATTCTTTAATGTCTTCGAAAACTTCCTCCAGCGGGGCCCCGCTTACTTCAAACGCAATCCTCCTCTTTCCAACCTGAAACTGGAGCAGCTGAGCGCATCCTCCACCTCTCCGCCCCCCACCCCCACCCCAGCTGCTTCCTGGTGCCCCAAGCCCATCTAATCACTGCCCTGCTTCCCTCCCTAGTCCCTCACCCCTACTGCCTCCTTTTCACCTTTAAGTCCCTGATCTGGTTTTCCCAGGAACTCTCACCAGGCTTGGCCTCCATCCATCTGGTCCCATTACTCCCTCCTCCTGATCCCCTTTACCACCTCCTGGAGGCCCAAACCTTGTCTCACTCTGCTTCACTGATCCTTATCTCCTGGGTCTTCCCACAATCCCCAGGCCTGATGACGCCCCTTCTCCCCCTTCCTTGGTCATTGTCTTGAAGACTTCCCCCATTGCACCCCAGGAATTCCTTGGTCTTCCCACCCTCTGACTTCTCCCTTTCTGGCTACTGCTCTGCTCTTCATCCAGTCCTCCCCGCCCCCACACACACACACTATCCCCCAAAGTCCCCATGATCTTTCCCTCCTTGACCCCCAACCCTGGCTGCCATGGTCTTCCCTCCACCCTCCACCACAGGTCGAAAGTTCCTGATCGCCAATGCTCAGATGGAGAACTGTGGCATCATTTACTGCAACGACGGCTTCTGTGAACTCTTTGGCTACTCCCGTGTGGAGGTGATGCAGCAGCCATGCACCTGCGACTTCCTCACAGGCCCCAACACCCCACGCAGTGCCGTGGCCCGCCTGGCACAGGCCCTGCTGGGAGCTGAAGAGTGCAAGGTGGACATCCTCTATTACCGCAAGGATGGTGAGGCAGCCTCAGTCTGAGGTTCTGCAGGGCTGACTAGCCTCTCTTGTCTAGCCAGGGTGGCCTTGGGGAGGACACAGACCCAGACCCGGGGACTAAAAGGCCTGCACAAAACTCCTCCTCTTGCTGAGTCTCAGTTTTCTCACCCATAAGATAAAATGATGGGGATTGGATGCATGCATGCTTTCAGGAACTGGATACTTGAAAGTCACTGACTGGTCCTGGCCTGGGGCCGGGCTTCTCCTTCCACTATCCCTCCCTGTCTCCAGTCTCCTGCCTCCAGTCTCCAGTCTCTTGCTACTCACTCTGTCACTGTCAACCCTAGCTGTCAGGCAGCTGGCATGGAAATTAACCTTCCCTCCTTTCTGTCTGGGGACTAGGGGAGGAGTCGTCCACTTAAGGCCTCTGTGGCCAGACAAGGACTGGGGGTTACTGTCTGGGAAACCAGGGTGGCCTGGCTCATCCATCCCATGCTCCTTGGGGAGATGGGGCCTGAGGTTTTCCCTAACCTAGAGGCTCATCCAGATGGAGAGTGGGTTGTTACTGCCAGCCCAGACTCAGTGCAAGCAGAACAGAATCAATGGGGCCCTGCGTAGGGCAGGGACTGAGGATGGAGCTCAGCAGCCCCTTGAGAGCCTTCTTCCAGAACCTCAGGGTCCCTGCGGGACCTAGGGGATGTATGGGTGAGAAATAGGAAAGTTCTGTTGTAATCACTGAGACCAATACCTCCGAGCCTAGGTCTGCATCAAAATTACCTGACAGGTGTTTTCCAAAACATCTTCCCCAGAAAATCTGCTCGGAAGAAGTGAGATGAGGTCCAAGCACAGGTATATTGGGAAAACTCCAGAGGTTCTGATATCCTGCCACGTTTAAAAACCACTGGCTTAGATAAATCCTATCATTTCATGAATAAGGGAGTAGAGGCCAAAGGAAAAGGGACTTGCCTAAGATTTCACAATTAGAATCCAAGCTGGCACTGGAGTCCGAGTTTCTGGATTCCTTCCTCCAACATCTGTCCTGAGCAAGCCCAAGAGGAGAGAGGGCCCTCCAACTGCCTGTCTTGGAGATGGGATTTTTGGAGAAGGAATTGGGGTCTTCCTACCCCTCCCAGAGAAAGCAGGCATGAGAGCACCTGTGCAAATGCAGGATATCCCTTTGGGTGGGAGGATGTTGAAAACCTGGATCCAGGGACATGGTGTATGCATGGAGTATGCGTGTGAACATGAGCATGTGTTTGTGCATGTATGTGTATGGGCTCATGAGCTCCTGAGTCATTTCTTGTGGCCGATTCTGGCTGTCCCCATGGTCAGGACTGGCCCTGCTGTTGCCACCCGAGTGAGTCGCAGATGGGATGTGCAGCCAGCAGGGGCAGCAATTAGAAGCTTTGGAAGAATCTGGCTTATTTTGGCAGTACTCACAGGATTAATGAAGTCAGAATATTTTTAAAAGCTGTCACCTCACCTCTTCCTATCATGGCAGGAAGAAGGTGACAGTCAGGGGAGTGAGAAGGGTCCTAGGGGAACAAGATGCGACAGCAGGAAATGAGGGGGCAGCGGGTCCTTTCTGTCAGCAATCCTTGCCCCAGAACTCTTCTTGAGGTGTAAGGTTAATCCCAGGCTTCTCAGGATGTCAGATTGGAGATCTTGGGAGCCCTTCAGCACTCTGCATGTGCCTAGGCACAGGACACAGGTCAAGGCTGGGCATTGGCTCCCTGGGACCAGGACTCAGGTCTGTAGAACCTTGCCGATGTCCCACTACTCTAAAGGAAGCATATGATGCTCAGATAATTGATGCTTACCTTAGGGTCCGCTCTGACTGCATGATCTTTTTTTTTTTCAATCTTGTTCACATACATCTTACAGTCCTATTGAGGTAATTTCTTCCCATTTCAAATCAATACCTCCCTTCCCTGCCCCCTGACTCTGCAGAGATGAGAAGGGGGTCCTGAACAGAACTCTAGCAGATTTTGTATAATCCTCTTTTCCTCTAAAGGGGTAATCCACCGGTAAGTCTCCAAGTCCAAGTAGAAGGTCTGTGTCCATATGTCTCTACATTGTGTAGGTACATAAATCTGGGTTCAAAGGAGCCAGGACACTTGATAAAATTTACACCAGGAGGCAGGCTCAGAAACCCCTGGAAAACTGGCTCACCAATCTAGGAACGTAACAGAGATGAGGAAGAATGGGCTTGGGAGTAAGACTAAAACCAGTGAGAGAGGGAGGGACAGAAGAAGGAAGGGAGAAAGACAGTAGTCAGATTCTCTCTCCCTTACTCCCACACCCACCAGGTCCTTGCCAGAGGGGCCCAGCCCTGCCTATATACCTGGATCTTCTTCTCTTATGATCCCAAACCTCTTTCTCTTATGATCCACTTTAAACTCCAAACCAGACTAAAAGAGGCCTGGGGCTTCCAGCCCTCAGCTCCCGAGGCCAGGACTGTGAGGTCAGGGGCCACTGTGTGTCCCATTCAGTGATTTCTGCATGGTGTGGTGCCATAAGATAAGCACTAGACTGCAAGGTCAGTTTGAACTGCAGGGTTGGCAATTCAAACTTACCAGCCGCTCCTCAGAAACCCTATACAGGGTCACTAGGGGTCAGAACCAACTCGACAGCACTTAACAACAAGCAACAGCAACCCATGAATGCCATGAGAGCCACGCTGGGAGATGGCATAGAGCAGTCACCTACTTGGTGGCAGCTTTTTGTGACACCAGGTCCTCCCTGAGGTTCAGCACAGTGCTGGAGGGGTGTACATAAAGATACAGGTGGAAGAGGGAGCGAGAGCCAGAGCAGGGAGCAGGGCAGAGTAAGCTATGAGAAAAGGAAGAAGCATATTTAGGAGGGAGAGATAAGCAGACAGAAGTTAAGATGTCCCAGGGAGTAGACAAACCTGCTGCCCTTGATCAGAGAGGCAGGTGTCAGGAGAAGCCTCCAGAAAAGAAAAAGGTTCAGACACTGGCTCTTCCTCCAGGGACAGGGGCAAGGGACACAGCTACTCCTTTAGGTACAACCTAGAGTAACACACTCACCCTCTTATGGTCACCCAGGCACAGTTATGAGGGACTGTGAGCCTTGAGTGGGCAAGGATAGCCGGGGAGCAGGGGAAAGAATGCCCTGGACTTATTTCTAAATTCTCATCGCCTTTCCGCCCACGGGAGAGTGTGATGGCTCTGTAGGATAAATACTGAATTGCAAACCACAAGGTCAGCGGTTCCAACCCACCAACCACTCTACAGGAGAAAAATGAAGCTTTCTACACCCAAAAGGATTTACAGCCTCAGAAACCCTATACAGAGTTGCTGTAAGTTGGAATTGACTGGTTGGTTGGTTATGTGCCATGGAGTCGGTTCCGACTCATAGTGACCCTGTACAGAGTTTCCAAGGCTATAAATCTTTATGGAAGCAGAAAGCCTCATCTTTCTCCCATGGAACAGCTGGTAGTTTTGAACTGCTGACCTTGAGGTTCACAGCCCGATTCCTAACCACTACACTACCAGAGCTCCTTTGGAATTGATTAGATAGCACTAAACTACATCTCTGCTCACCCAACAGGCAGTGAGCATGGCATTAGGACATTGGTGTCAAGCACGCACTCCTGTGCCAACCCTACTACTATGGTGGGCTGGTATTTTGTTCTCTCCCATCCTGTTTCCCAACATTGGAATCCATGGATGAGTTCTGCTACCTTAAGACTAGGCTTGGCAGCTTCCAGTAGTAAAGAGAACCTGAAGTCCCACCCTTCAGTCCAGTCCTGCCCTCTCCAACCCAGTCTCTGTGGGGAATCAGACAGACAGACGGGGATTGAGTCTGGCCTGGGGGTCAGTGTCTCAGGCCACTGACCAAGTGAGTGAGTGGAGGACCCCCTCATCCACTAGGAGCCCGGGGTAAGGCCAGGCAGCAGCCTCCCCTGGTGTGGATGTCTCCCCTGGGGCCCCAGCACAACAGCTGGCTGATGGCTGCCTGGTGCCTGGGAGTCCAGGAATCTGATCCAGGAGAGCGCTGCACCTGGGGTGGAGAGTGAAGGGAGGGGAGAAGAGGCTTAGCTGCACCCCAGCACTGATGCTGGTGAGGAGGGGCTGAAAGCACTAAATGGGGAACCTGGGAAAAAGTGACCCCCAAAGTAGCAATTATCCCTCTACCTCCTCTCCCAGCCTTCGATTGATCAACAAACACTTGGGACAGGTACAGGGATGATGCCAAAGGAGACAACCCCAAACCTGCCCCAGGGGCTCTGCCGTCTGATTTGCATGCTCGCCTGAGGCCCCTTCTCCTTATTTCCTTGCACTTTGGCTTGATGCCAGCTAGGATCTGAAATGGGAGGCATGAGGGCCCCATACCATGGAGAAGGGTGCCCACCCACCCAGACTTGGGAGGGAAGTTGGCTGCTTACAGGCTGGGCTCCGACAGTATGTTGCAGTTTTTACTTATAAAGGTGAGAGAGAGGGCAAAGGTCCCCAAGGCCCAGGGGGTATGCAACTGGGGCTGGACCACCAGGGAGGATGAGTGGAATGGTGGGAGGAGCTACAGGATTACCTGCCCTTCCCCCTAGCAGCCTCCTCCCTCCTTCAGACCCCAGGTTACTGTCCCACCTATCCCAACGCCCACCCCCTCCGAGGACCTAAGCAGCAGCCTGGCCCTCACTCCAACATCCCCAACTCCCAGACCCAGTCCTTACTGTTACCAGTCTTTGGTATGAGAGTCTAGGGTTCCCCTCCAGCCTAGGTTTCATGCCTGCTCCCCGACCAGCAAATCACTTCCTCAGAGCCTCAGGCTCTCAGCTGCAGAACAGGAGTCTCTGCCTGCTCCCAGAGTCTCACAAGGTCTTAAGTGCAAACTCTCTCAGTGCCCAGAACTGGTGTATTCTCCAAGAGGTCACTCCAGTGTCATGGGTGCGGGGCACCTTGTAAGTGGGAACTTGGGGGTCGTGCACAGGACTATCTGAGCTATAGCTATAGGGAGGGAGAATGCCTGCCTTCAGCCCCTGTGAATACATCCATCTGCTCGGCTTTAATTATAGCAGAGGCCAAGTGTGTACTTGGTTCTGATGCTCAGCTGCTCTCCCATCTCTGCTCTGTGGATGGCACACCTGCTAAGTTGTCTCACCCACCTCTGCCAACAGCCCTGGTCACCGCCCAGGCCCTCTTACCCCCTGTGTCTGCCCTGCACTTGACCTTACCGTAACCCCCTCCTTGGCTGTCCCCAGTGGGACTGCTGTAGGAGGGGACACGTTCAGTGACACCCTCAGTGCATTTGCAGCCTCCAGCTTCCGCTGTCTGGTGGATGTGGTGCCTGTGAAGAATGAGGAGGGAGCTGTCATCATGTTCATCCTCAACTTTGAAGACCTGGCCCAGCTCCTGGCCAAGAAGGGGAGCCACAGCCTGTCTCAGCGCCTGTTGTCCCAGGGCTTCCTGGATTCGGGTGAGGTGGATGCAGGTGGTGGAGGAGGGCCCTGGCAGAGTGTCCGGTCCCAGGATCCTGGCTTCTCTGACCTTGGCTCTGGTTTCAGAGGGTTCTCACAGTGGGCCGGGCAGACAGGGTCCCGGTTCAGGCCGAATCAAGTACAAGACCATCAGCCAGATACCGCAGTTCACGCTCAACTTCGTGGAGTTCAACCTGGAGAAGCATCGCTCAGGCTCCACCACAGAGATTGAGATCATTGCACCCCATAAGGTCATGGAGCGGACCCAGAATGTCACCGAAAAGGTCACCCAGGTACCAGCTACATGGCAGGGTGGGCAGGGCGGTGCCAGGCTTTGGGCCCCAACTCCTCTGGGGCTGATCTGGGCCCCTAGAATCCAGTGGAAAATTCAACATCCAAATGGATTCCCATGCAAGAAGGGTGACTATAGTCAACAGCAGGGAGAAAATCAGAAAAGAGGCAGCTAGTGCGTGTGTGGATCAGGGAGGCCTTCCCAGGCCTGAAGGCTGATAGGATGTTACCTCAAGGAAAGGAAACTCATGGCTTCTGCCTGTGGATGGCATGTCAGACCATGGACTTCCTGGTTGAATACAACCTTCTAGAGGGTCTTCCTTGTTGCCACTCCATCTGCACATGAGTCTGGTTTGCAAGATTTGTTTAAACCCAGGACTGGTGGTTGGACCTCATTCTAGTAGAAGAGTAAGTAGTTAGTGGGAGTCCCTCAGACCCCAGGCTCATTGGGGCTGTGTCTGATGTAGGATGAAGAAGCAGGAGGTTGCGAGGGTAGGAAGAGGAATTATCATACAGGTTGGTCATGAGCTGTCTAGATTTGCCATCTCATTTATTCACAACGACCCAATGAAGTTTATCATCTTTTGTTATTCCATTTTTGCAGATGAGGGAACTAAGATATATAGCGGTCACAACCTTGCCCAAAGACACACATAAAACAAATGGTAGAGCTGGGATTCAAATCCCATGCCTTTCTTATTATCCTGGGCAGCTGGGCAGAGCCTGGACATGTTGAGCTGGCTCTAGGGATCCTAGATCCCCAGTTTCTAGGTGGGGGCTGGGGTGGGCAGAAGGGCCTCAAGTGAATGCAATGATCCAAATTCCCCTTGGTCCTAGGGGAAGAAGTCAGGTCACACTAGTGCTAGGAACCCAAGACCCATCAAAGGTCAGATGGACTTCTTGTTGTTGTTATTATGTGCCATGGAGTCGGTTCTGACTCATAACAACCCTGTACAGGGTTTCTAAGGCTGTAAATCTTTACGGGAGTAGAAAGCCTCATCTTTCTCCAGCGAAACAGCTGATAGTTTCGAACTGCTGACCATGAGATTAGCAACCCGATTCGTAACCACTATGCTACCAGATGGACTATTCACCCTCAAATTCAACTCTCCATGGAAGGCTCTTGGAATTGCCCCAGGGAGGCTCCACATTGGTCCAGGCTCCTCAGGACCCTCAGAAATGAAGAGGCTATTCTGGGGTGAACTTTGCTCATCAGGAACCCTGACCACAGGGGACCTCCCAAGCCTTCCAGAGAAGCTAGGCCACCTCCCCACAGCCATCCCCTCAATTTCAATCTGATCCCTTCTCTAGGACTTGCTCACAGCTGGGCCTGGGCCTGGCTCTATTCTGCCCTCCTCACCTCCACCCCCAATCCTGTTCCATACCAGCCTGAGGGAGCTTGTGAGCCTCCAGTCTGGGGTCCCCATGGGACAGAGCTGTGTCACCCCTGTCTCCCATCTCCTCTCTTTGCCCTTCCTCCCTTCACACCTGTCCCATCATCTTTATCTTGCTCATCCCCTCAGCCCTTCCCAGCCCTCATCCCCACCCTCCCCTGCTGCCCTCTTCACCCGACTTGCTCCTATGTCCTCACCCTTTCCAATGGTGGCTGCCCCACTAACCACACCCATGGCCCCCACCCCCAGGTCCTGTCCCTGGGTGCCGATGTACTGCCGGAATACAAGCTACAGGCACCACGCATCCACCGCGGGACCATCCTGCATTACAGCCCCTTCAAGGCTGTTTGGGACTGGCTCATCCTGCTGCTGGTCATCTACACAGCCGTCTTCACACCGTACTCAGCCGCCTTCCTACTCAGTGACCAGGATGAGCCCCGGCGTGGGGACTGTGGCTACACCTGCACCCCACTCACCGTGGTGGACCTCATCGTGGACATCATGTTCGTCGTGGACATCATCATCAACTTCCGGACCACCTATGTCAACACCAATGATGAAGTGGTCAGCCACCCTCGCCACATCGCCGTCCACTACTTCAAGGGTTGGTTCCTTATCGACATGGTGGCTGCCATCCCCTTTGACCTGCTCATCTTCCGAACCGGCTCTGATGAGGTGAGCTGACCATCCCGTGAGTGCAAGAGAGCAAGTAGAGGCAGGAGTAGAGCCTTAGACCATCAAGTGTGTCATATCCCAGCCCTGGAGAAAGGCCAGGCGAGGCTGTGCCCCAGAGCTGGGTGCCATCCCACTGACTTCTGAGTCTGCCTCTCAAGCCCAGCCCCTCCACTGTGTCCATTCTACTCCATTAACTGATGAGAGGGCATTTTCATGCTCTTGGTGGACTTTCCAGTCCCACGTTGTTCTACCCCATGTCTTCAGAATCAACTTTCCATTTCAAATCAACTCTGCTCTTGATGGCTCAATGTTCACCCCACCCCACCCCCAGCAATCCCATTCCCAAGTCTTTCCCCCTCCTCCCCGCCCCACTGCCCTACCTGAGTGGCCTTCTTAGCGTTGCCCTAGTCCTATACCCCCAGCCTTGCTTTCCCACAGACAACAGTCAGAGAGAGTTTTAGATCCAAATCACTTTATCTGATCCTGTCACTCCCCCCAAAGAACCTTCAGTGGCTCCCCAGGCTCTTTCTAGACCTTTGAGGCCCACAGGAACAGCCCCTGCCCACCTTCCCAGCCTCATGTCTCACTGCTTCCTCATCTCCCATTCTGTGCCCTAGACTACAACAAACCAATGGGTTTCTCACATTGCCAAACCATCCCACATTCACACTTTGGATCCTGCCACACCCTCTCCCTTCTGTCTGCCTACAGAGCACCATCTCTGAAGGGTTCTCTGACTGCCCCTGCAGACTGAACCCCCACCTCCCTACTTCCTCCCTGTTAGGAAGTCCTTTGTTAGGACTTCAGTTGAGAGTCCCTTGAGGGGCACATAGCTGGACCAGCTCAGGGTCTACACCAGCGTTTGTTGAATGACTGTGTGGCTGTATATATGAGTGAATAAATGCAGGCCTGGGCACACATTTATCAAGGGCTGACCTCCTTATCCCTCCCCGGCCCTCCAGACCACAACCCTGATTGGGCTGCTGAAGACAGCACGGTTGCTGCGACTGGTGCGCGTTGCACGGAAGCTGGACCGCTACTCTGAGTATGGAGCGGCTGTGCTCTTCCTGCTCATGTGCACCTTTGCGCTCATCGCACACTGGCTGGCCTGCATCTGGTATGCCATCGGCAACGTGGAGCGGCCCTACCTTGAGCCCAAGATTGGCTGGCTGGACAGCCTGGGCGTGCAACTTGGCAAGCGCTACAATGGCAGTGACCCAGCCTCAGGCCCCTCGGTTCAGGACAAGTACGTCACGGCTCTCTATTTCACCTTCAGCAGCCTCACCAGCGTGGGCTTTGGTAACGTCTCACCAAATACCAACTCTGAGAAGGTCTTCTCCATCTGCATCATGCTCGTTGGCTGTGAGTACCACCTCATGCCGTGGGTCTCAACCAGGGAATTTTCTTTTTAATATAGTAATGGGATCCGGGCATCCTGGTGTGGTGCTGTAGGAGAAGCAATGGACTGGTAACCAAAATGTCAATGGTTCAAACTCACCAGCCACTCATTGAAAACTCTATACAGGGTTGCTATACGTCTGGACTGACTCAATAGCACTGAATAGCAATAACAATAGAATATTGTGCACATGGTTAATATGCTTGGGTGTTAACCAAAAGGTTGGAGGTTCAAAACCATCCAAAGGCACTGCAGAAGAAAGAACTGGCTGTCTAATTCTGAACAATATACCATTAGAAACTGCACATGGAACACAGTTATACTCTGGTACACATAGAGTCAACATGAGCTGGAGTTGGCTAGACAGCAACTGGTAAACACACAGGAACAATGTAGCAGAATGAAGTGTGTATATATGGATACACCCATTATACCTGAAATTTAATATACATACAGGCCCTTCCTCTATGATAGGCACACAGCAATGCAAAAGAAAATGTGGGGCCCTTGTTAAAAAAGATTTTAGATGTTCAAGACAGTGATAGAGTATTTGACCAAGTGCAGGGCTCATCTGATTGTGAATCCTTGTGTGACTATACAAGTCATAGGCCCACGAAGTCAGCCTTACAAGGCACACTGCTAAAGGCTTCATGTTGCTGTTAAGTGCTAATAAGTCGATTCTGACTTACTTTCTAGCACTTCTACTTTCTAATTTACGTTACTTTCTAACGCTTCATGTTGGTGTTAAATGCGACCCTGTATAGCATTTCCGAGGAGTTACTAGTGAGTTTGAACCTCTGATCTTGCGGTTCAAACTGATATTGCAGTCCAGCCCATTAGCCTGCAGTGCCACCTCTGCATTTAATTCCCATCACAACCCCATGAGGGCCATATTACAAACCCCAGTTTACAGGCCAAGAAACCACTGTCCTAACTTAACAGAGGTTACACACCTATTAAGACAGGGAGTCTTAGAACCCCGAATGGAACCAGGTGGCCTGCACTGAACGCTCCTACACTCTGCCTCCTGCCTCCCGAAACACCGGATTTAAAAATGCACAAGGCAGAGTGGAATTTTACAGGAGCTGAAGTTGTAGACTAAGTTGTTATGTTAGAAGTATTTAGACATGTGAAAGCCCAGAAAAACAAAAACAACACACACACAAAAAAAGTCATGAAAACAAGAGACCAAGAGTTGTCTCATTATTATGTTTTTGAAACTTGAAGAAGAAAACAAATCTGAGCAAGAAGTATTCAGTGTCCTAGTTCCTTCTTCTCAAGAATTTGGCCTCTAGGTCCAGGAAGACGCCATTCTAGAAGTATGGGGCACAGAAGGAGAAGGGCAGGGCGCCTTGTGCCTGGTGCAAACCTGGGCCACTTGTGACTTTACATTGAACAGAGGGGTCCCTGACCAGGGCTGCTGCCAGAGGGGCTTGGCGCAAGTCCTGGGGTGGTATTGTCTGGTGGGAATCCAAGAGGACGCTCACTCCCCGCCCCTTTCCCGCCCCCAGCTCTCATGTACGCCAGCATCTTCGGCAATGTATCGGCCATCATCCAGCGCCTGTACTCTAGCACCGCGCGCTACCACACGCAGATGCTACGTGTTAAGGAGTTCATCCGCTTTCACCAGATCCCCAACCCGCTACGGCAGCGACTCGAAGAGTACTTCCAACACGCCTGGTCCTACACCAACGGCATCGACATGAACGCGGTGAGCTCCCGGGCCCTGCCGGGCAGGGGCGGGAGACTCAGCCCCCGCTTCAGCTCCCCGGGAGGTCAAGGTCCCGAGGGCGCAGGACGCCCCCGAGCTCCCCTCGGCCCCACCGCGCCCGCTGGATCAGCACCCCCGTCTCGTAGGTGCTGAAGGGCTTCCCCGAGTGCCTGCAGGCCGACATTTGCCTACACCTGCACCGCGCGCCCTTGCAGCACTGCCCAGCCTTCCGCGGAGCCAGCAAGGGCTGCCTGCGCGCTCTCGCCGTCAAGTTCAAGACGACGCACGCGCCGCCGGGAGACACACTGGTGCACCTGGGCGACGTGCTCTCCACGCTCTACTTCATCTCTCGTGGCTCCATCGAGATCTTGCGCGACAACGTGGTCGTGGCCATCCTAGGTGTGTGGGGTGTGGGCTGCCCGGGTCACTCCCTGCTTAATGCTGCCACATGTTAAACACTGCCTAGAGGGGTCAGCCCCAGCTCTCTGGTTCCAAAAAACAACCCTCTGGCATAGGCCCCATTCTGGTGCTAGCGAAATTGCCCCTGGGATTCCCATGTGTCAACTCAGAAGCCCAAGCAGGCTACTACCTCCTCCCATTCTTATGGATCTCAGGGTGGCAGGATGGTGGTCTGTCTTGGGTGGAGGATGGTGCCCTACCTGGCCTCCCCAGTCATACTCAGTGTAGCTGCAGGGACAACTAGACACTTTGGAGGAAGGATATGAACACTGGGCAGGGGTCAGACAGATTTGGGTCACAGGAAGCCTCTACCACTTCCCAGCTGTGTGACCTTGAATATATTGCTCCATCTCTCTGAACCTCATAGTATCCTCTCCTGCTGTCCCACTACCCCAACTTCAGCGTGCCCTCCTCTTGCTCTCCACAGCCCCTTCCCCATCTGCTGTCTACTCACTTTGCACCTCACCTGGGCTAGCTTCTTGCTTCCCAGTTTCTTGTCTCAGCCTCTACCTGTACCACAAAGACCCCACACACACACCAAAGCTCTGCCCAAGCCCCAGTGTTTCTCTGTGTTAGACAGAACATTCCATTCCTTCCTGAACATTGCTATTGTTAAGTGCTGTATAGGGTTTCTGAGGAGCAGCTGGGGATTTTGAACCTCTAACCTTGTGGTTCAAACCAACCTCGCGGTTGAGTGCTTATCCTACAGTGCCACACCAGGACTCCTTCCTGAGCATGTAGTTGTTGTTGTGAAGTGCTGTCAAGTCAGTTTCAACCCATAGCAACCCTGCATAGGGTTTTCTAGAAGCAGCTGGTGAGCTAGAACCACCGACCTTGTAGTTGAAACAATCTGGTGCATTAACCCACAGCACCACACCAGGACTTCCTTATATTCCATAGAACAAACTAAACATATCCCAATCTGTCTGTTCCTTCATTAATACACCTCTGTCCCTTAACTCTGTATCCTTGTCCCTGCCCAATCCAGCCCTCACCATGCCCCCCACCACCAGCTGGCCAGTGTCAGGAGTTCCTGCATCTGACCTACCCACCATTCTCCATCTTCCACCTCCTGCCAGGCACCTGAAATACACATCTGTGCACGATCCTCTTTAGCTTAAAATCCTTCTATGATTCCCTAGGGCCATGTGACAGAATGTGCATGGCCTCTGTTAGTACTGCCACCCTCCCCTTGGTACAGCATGCTCCAGCCACACAAACTACTTGTTGTTGTTATTAGGTACCAGTGGGTCTATTTCAACTCATAGAGATCCCAGGCAACAGAGTAGAACTGCCCATAGATTCCCTAGGCAGATTCCCACAGTAACCTTAATGGGTAATGGGTGCAGATCATGGAGTCTTTCTGTCACAGAGCCACTGGATTGGTTTGAACCATCAACAGTTTGTACAACCACGACTACTCTAAATCTTCCTGTCTTGGTTACACCACAATGCCTTTGCTCATTCTGTTCACTCAGCTTGGAGCATCCCACTCCACACTTCTGCCTGGCAGATCCCAGTCATCAAGACTGCGTTCAAGCATGGGCTCCTAGATGAGACCTCCCGTCTTCCCAGCCTACCTTAGACCATGTGTCAGGAATAATAGTTCTCATCAAATATTAAGCAGCCAGTCCAATTTAAGGTTCAGTTATAGACATGAAATTCACTTTGTCCTCAGTAGAAATGAACATTAGATCATAATCTTCCATCATCTGGAAACCCATCACTTTACTTAAAATATTGCCCAGATTTCAAGCTTCTGGGATTCATATGTGATCCTGGTGAGTTTCTTCCCTTTCAGAGTCTCCGTCCCCACTTCTTTGAAGAAAGAGTTAGGTCTGGATAGTGCTGAGGACTTCAGGTCTGATGGTCTCTGATCTTCAGATCCTGTTCTCTTGGAAGGTGGAGGACAACATGCTCCAGTCTCCACTGCACCCTTCTATCTGAACGAACTATTTGTACCTCTCAAGCAATGTCACCAGGCTGAGAGGCTGTACTTTCCTGTGGGGGAAAGAAGTCAAGTTAGTCATGGTCTATGGCACCCCTAAGGATCCCTGGAAGCCCTGGTGTGGTGTTGTAGACTAAGCACTGACTACTAACCACAAGGCTGGCAGTTCAAACCCACCAGCCTCTCCTTGGAAATGCTACACTTAACAACACCAAGGATGATGGCACTTAACAACATCAAGGAGCCCTGGTGGTGCTGTGGGTTAGGCATTGAGCTGCTAACTCTAAGGTCAGTGGTTCAAATTCACCAGCTGCTCTTCAGGAGAAGGAAGAGGCTGTCTGCTCCCATGGAGATTTACCGTCTTGGGAACGCTATGTAGGATTGCTATGAGTCAGAATCGACTCCATGGCAGTGGAAGTAGATATAGTATCTCTGGTCCAGAGCTTTCCACCTAACCATACAAAGCCCAAACCATACAGCACTGACCTTACATTGTTTCTTCTGTCAGAATGCCTTTCTCCTGGACTCCCCAACACACATACACAATTTCTGTTGAATGTAATCCAACTCATGGTGCTGCCATGTGCATCATAGAACTCTGCTCCATAGATTTTCAATGACTGATTTTTCTTATATTTATTGTGATTGATGATCTAATTAGATGTATTCTTTTTCATTTTTTTTTAACTTTATTGTGAATTGAGTGAAGGTTTACAGAGCAGATCGTCAGTTTTACATTCATCAAATCGTACACTTTGTTATATCTCAATGATTGCCGTCTCCTCCGTGTAACACCAGTTTCCCCACTTCCTCCCTGTGGTTATCTCCATTCCCCCTCCTTCCCATGCCTTCTCAACTTTGTCCTTGGGTAAATGTTGCCCTTTTGATCTTGAATAGCTGACCATTCCATGATGAGCACACCTTACTAGTGTTTTTGTCCCCACTATGTGAGTCGGAAATGACTCCACGGCACATAGCCACCACCACCATATGCCCTTGGATGAAAATTGGGCCACAAGGGTGAGTTCCGTGCCAGATCTGAAGGGTAGCCGAGGACCATAATCTCATTTTCCTTTCATCTCTTTCTGAACAGTAAGCCCAGTCCTTATTTCTAAGTTTTGTTCCACATTTTCTCCCACTCTATACTGGACCTTCTTAATGGGATCCCTTTCACAGCAGTTGCTAGTGGTGGCCCAGCACCATCTAGTTCTTCTGACCTCAGAGTCATGCAGACTGTTAGTCACATGTTCCATTAGTCCGTTGGACGAGTTGATTTCAAGCAGCTTCAATTTTCTTTCTTCAACACATAGAGAGACCAATAGTTGCACCTTAGATGGCTGCTCATGAGCTTTTAAGATTCCAGTCGCTACTCACCAACGTAGGATGTAGAACGTTGTCTTTAGACCATGTTATGCCAATTAACCATAGTGCCTTCTGATACTATGGTCCTGAACCCCAAGGCCCAGCAACTTGTTGCCTCAGGGCATTTGGTAATGTCTAAGAAATTGTCAACATTTTGCTCGCATATGTTCCACCACATTGAAAGATGTGTTTGCAGCAAAGGTAAATTACTCATGTCAAACCCTTATATACTTGTGAGTATACTCCCACTCTGCCTCCCATACCTGTTCAGCTTGTGTATCTGTCTGTGTATGTACATGTAGAACAGTGTTGCTGCAGAGGCAGTGATGCTCTGATAGTGCCTTGATTACTACTGGATTAGGATAATGAGACGCATTAGAAAGGGTAGACGTCATAGGGAGACATAGATTGATGCTCAGTATTGGACCCTACTGGTGCCTGGCACTGTGCTGTTCACATGCTCCATATCAATTCCGCAGAGATGAGGGAGGGTGTTCAGCAGGGAGCCTTTGACATCCCTTCTTGCTACTGCCCCCTGGGCAGGGGTAGGGTCAGTCTTAAAAGCGCAGTTAAAAGAGAAGGGATTCTCTAAGGGGCCGGGAGACAGGGTGGGGGCATCTCTGACCCTGTTGCTTCAGAGCTCAGAGGACAGGAGAAAGCCTCCCTTATCCCCTACCTCAGTCAGCACCCCCAAAGTTGAATCCTGAGTACCAAACCCTAGCCTTTCAAGATCCCTGAAGTGGGTTGTAGAAGGGCCTGGTGAAGGGACACTGAGGAAGACTCTTCAGGAGGGAGCTTGGAGCCAGATCCTGGAGGGACCTTTTCCTGCTCTGGCTGGCAGGGAAGAATGACATTTTCGGGGAGGCCGTTAGTCTCCATGCCCAGCCAGGCAAATCCAGCGCAGATGTTCGGGCACTGACCTACTGCGACCTGCACAAGATCCAGCGGGTAGACCTGCTAGAGGTGCTGGACATGTACCCCACCTTCGCGGACAGCTTCTGGAATAAACTGGAAGTCACCTTCAACCTGCGGGATGTGAGTCTAGGCCAGCAGGCCAGGGCGGTGGTGACTGGGGGCTAGCTGGCTGGACCTATGGGGACCCACCCTTCCCTCAAACCCCATCCTGCATTCTGCCATTATCTCTTCTGTACCTACCATTGCCAACACCATACTAAATAAATACAGTGCGGGGGGGGGGGTGCGGCATGTGTGCCATGGAGTTGGTTCCCACATGTAGCAGCCCTGTATAAGATGTCCAAGGCTGTAAATCTTTATGGGAGCAGAAAACTTCATCTTTCTCCCATGGAGCAACTGGTAGATTTGAACTGCTGACCTTGTGATTAGCAGCCCAACTCATAACCCACTACACTACCAGAACTCCTTAAATACGATGCTAGTTCCCACTTGCTAAGTACTGAGCTAAGGCCCTGTTTTACATTATCTTAGATACTCCTCACCTTGCAAATGGTGTTATTATCCCTACTTTTCAGATGGTCAGAAAAGATAAGGAAAATGCCCAAAGAGCCTAAATCAAACTCAAGTTCATCCACCTCCAAAGCCCAGGCTCTGGCCAGCACATTGGGCCAAGCTGGAAAGGAGGGTACCTGTCCTCCAGAGGTTCCTGCCAGGCACAGGGAGTGGCAAGAAGTGATAATAAAACTACGTCTCCTCTTACATTAATCAGTGGAAGGGTTGTGACAACTGAGGGGAAAATAGCCACACAAATTACATAAGCAAGCATGTCACAGGATGTGCAGGACAGACCCTCAGGGCTGCTAAGGACTGAGACAGTCAGGAGAAGTGCTGGGGACTTCGGCTGTTAGGAGGGGCTTCATGAAGCTGGTGGGAATGCTGGGGAGAGCAGAACGAAATGCCAGTTGTCTGAAAACTCCAGCACCTTTTCTCCGAGCCACCCCTGTCCCCATCTCCTGCCCCCCAGCCTCAGCAACCATGACTGTGTCAGCTCAGGCCCTACACCCAGCTCCTTGAGAGTGGACAGTCCTCTTGCTGTGGACAATCGTCCCACCCTGTCCCTTCTACTGGTCTTCCCCCACCCCCAGTCTCTCCCCTTCCCACCTCACCTGCCCAGGAGACACCTAACAAGGACCCAGCCACTAGGAACTGCCAAGTGGATTACTGCTGGACACTAGGACACTAGGATGTGTCCTCTAGTTTCATGGTGCCAGAAGGGTAGGCTACCAACGATGCTGTTGAGAGTACTTTCTCAAGTGGACTGGGGGTCTAGACCCAGCCTCCTCACAGGAAAACCTCCATCAACATTCAGGGAAGGAGGGATTCTGCCTGTCATTCCTAAATCTAACTGCTCAAGACAGCCTCTCCAAGATCTCTGTGGTCTACACATGGCCACTCAGTGCAAAGTCATTGTCACCAAGTCTCTGGCAACCTGACTGCCTCCCACACAGAAAAGTTCCTGTGAGAAGCTGCCCAGGGCATTGCTGGAGTGCCCAGCCACACAGCATCCTTTCTAACCACATTGTCAGGTGGGGAGAGAACACAGAGGCCTAGTTCCAGCTTTGATCCATGTCCCTTGATACTCTTGTTCCCTACAAGGTAGACGGGGGTCTCCGGTCATCACCCAAACAGGCTCTAGGCAGCCTAGATCACCAAGGCTTGCCTCTCAATGACAACCAGGCAGGTGAGTAGAGTCAGCCCCTGCCCCCATCCTGCCAGTGTCTGCCCAGCCTCTTTCCAGATGGTCAGATGACTTGTGTCCTTAGAGAATGAGGGCTGGCTGGTTGCCAAGCGCTACCCCCAGGGGCTCCACACCAAGGCACCAGGGGACTCACTGGGCTGAAGCCTGCTGGGCATTGAGGCCAGGGTTGGGAGCCCCCACATACCCAGACTGCACAGACAGGGGTCCCGGCCACCCTCCCAGGGCCACAACCCCCTGGGCCCTGGAAGTCAGACCTCCCTGGGGACAGGACTTCTCACTCCAGGAGCCCCAGGTAAGTAGATCCCCTTCCCTCCCTGTACTTCCATGGTGGGAGGACCTGGGTTCTGTCGGAAGGGGCAGGCCTGTGGAGCAGCCAGATGGGCTCAAACTGCCCTGTCCCTCTTACAGTTGCTGCTCAGTCTCCGAACACCTCACACGTGGCTGGCTTCTGGCCTGAGTTGCTGCAGCAAGCGCCCGCAAGGCATAGCCCCTCAAACCTTCAAGGAGCTCCGGACAGCTGGCCTCAGGAGCTAGGCTCCAGGCTTGAGCAGCTGCAGGACCAGATGAACAGGTGAGTGCCCTGAGGACACGGACTGGGGCTCTGCAGAGGGCAGGCCCTCCAGGGAACTGGGCACAGACGCCCCCTCCTGGTCACTCAGGGGCATCACTTTGTACCTGATGGTTTTTGACAGTGGTGGACCCCATTTAGTGCAGGCATCCCCATCCCTATTTCACTAAACAGAGTTCTGATGTGGCACTGTAGGATCAGCATCACACTGTGAACCACATGGTCAGCAGTTCAAACCCATAAGCCACTCCTCGGAAACCCTATACAGGGTCGCTATGAGTTGGAACTGACTCTGCGGCACTGAACAACATGTCACCAAGCACAATTCCTTAGATACTTGCCCCTAGGAAACCCTAGAGTGTGCCAAGGAAGCTTTTTTGAGGGATGGTGGTGCAACCTTGGAAAGGGTCATGGCTTGTAGATGGCAGGACTTTGGAGGACAGTCCTGGGTTCAAATTCTGGCTCTGCAATGCACCAGCTAGAGAGTAGGTGACTAACTTTTTTGTGAAGTGGGGATGCTCAGAATACCCCCGTCAGAATTTCAATATGAAATCCAAACAGTGTGTGCATGGTGCCTGGTCACTGTTTATATATGAATCCACCACGTCCTTCGGGGAGTTAGGGCAGGGCTACAGAGCCTAGCATGGCAACAGCTTCAGCTTAGCTCCAGACTGCCAGACCAGTGTTGTGGTAGTTAGGTGCTGTTGAGTTGGTTTTGATTCATAGGGACCCTGGATAGGATCTCCAACGCCGCAAATCTGTATGGGAGCAGAAAGCTTCATCTTCTTTTGAGGCACTTCTGTTGGGTTCGAACCACCAGCATTGTGGTTCCGTAGTCCACTGTTTACCCTACAGGCCCCCAAATTGAGAGCTGCACCCAGCCCTGAACTGTTCTCATCCACGCTGACTCTGACCACCAGCCTCCATCTGGCAGGCTGGAGTCCCAAATGGCCTCAGACCTCGGTCACATCCGGATGCTTCTTCAGCAACCCCTCCCACCGGGCCATACCAGCTCCATCCTGGGAGCCTCAGTCCCGAAGGGCCTGGCCTTGTTTCCTGAAGCTTCAAGGTCTCCAAGTCCCGGGCCCAGACTACCCCCGGACAGTCCACCTCCTGCACAGGTGAGCAGGTAAGGGGACCCCCAGGTGCTTTCCTGTAGGTAACTGCATGCCTTCCCCCACCCCTAACTGGTTCCAAAGTGGCTTCAGGCTCAGAGCCTCTGTGCTCCGAGAGCAGCCGTGGCTTTCGTTGTACCCTTTATAGTTTGAATCATGATGGGGCAGCCTGGACAGGGACAGAGGCAAAGACCAGAAAGTGACCCCAGACCCCATAGTTGGGGCAAAGGGAACAGGAATCCCAACTGCGAAGGAACTCTCACCAGAGCCCACCTCTGAAATCAGGGTGGACTGCCCCATAGCCTGGCCTGGGGGGCTCCCCACACTTCCAGCCTTTCTTGCCCCTCCCAGGCCCTAAGCTATGATGAGTTGGACCAACGTAGGCAGAGGTACAGGACTTCCAGGATGCATTACCTGGCTGTGGCAGTGGACGAACCTCTCACACCAGCCCTGGAGCAGGAAGAGTCCCGGGGACTCCTGTCACCCTTGGCTTCACCTGTGTGTCCCAAGGGGGTACAGGGACTCGTCTGTGGTGCCCGCTTCTCCTCTCTCCCAGAACACCTTGGATCCGTCCCCAAGCAAATGGGGTGTCAAAGATATGGCTCAGATCCAGGACTTGAAGGTCATTAGAGCCATTGAACCCCAAGATGAAAGGCACCTTGAAGAGACTGCAGGCAGGTAAGGTGCGAGTCAAGGATCCTGGGGAAACAGCCCCAAAAATGGGCCTCTGAAAACTATTCTTCCAGAGTAGCTTCAAACTGCTCACCCATGTGATCCAAGAGGGTATGCTGAGAGACTCAGAACTTTTCCCAGTCTCCTTCAGGACTCTATTTTTCAAACTGCTCACCCATGTGATCCAAGAGGGTATGCTGAGAGACTCAGAACTTTTCCCAGTCTCCTTCAGGACTCTATTTAAACAGAAAGCTTGATGGAGAATGAGGGGATAGCGGGAGGTGGCTTCCCCATGCTGTTAGCTTACAGGACTGAGAGGTCAGTGAGGTAAAGAGAAGTTTCTGGTCTTCTGTTGGAGAACCTTGCTCTGGGCTGGGCAGGATATTACCTCCCAGCCTAGAACCAGCCCCTGCCTCATGGCCCAGGAGCGAGCAGTGGTAAAGTTGTGGTCTGTGGTAGACATGCCAGTTCACAACAGAGCTTCAGCCCTCAGCCACTTCACCCCTTGACAGTTCTCTGATGATCTTTGATCCCCTCCTGGGCAATGGAGTGTCACACAGCTAATAAAGTCGGCACATGTCACATTGAGCCAGGTCTGTAACTTACCTGAAGGTCATCGGGTCTTTAACTGTGTGTCAACCCCAATGGCTGAGGTCTTTCCCAAGCCCTTCTCACAAAGAGCTGGATGGAACCTGAAGGTGGCTCCAAGCCCAGGAGCTCCCAGAGCGTGGGGCTCATAAGCAGGTAGGGTGAAGGGAAGCAGAGAGGTGTGACTTGGAGGCCATCTGGAATCATGACAACAGCCAACACTCCATGGCACTTACACTGTGCTGGGCACCACGCTGACTTCTCAGAAGATATTCATGCAGCTAATTTTCCCAATAACCTTATGGGGTTGGTATGATTATCCTCATTTTAGAGATGTGGAATCAGTAGCAGAGAGAGACTAAGAAATATACCCTGAACATAAGGGGGACTTCTGGGAGACTGCTGTTGTTTTGTTTCCTGATCCAAGTGTTGCTTGCAGGAGTGTGTGTGTTCATGTTGTAAAACTATGTACACTTGTATGTATAAATTAGACTGGGATTCAAGATAAAAAGAATCTTACCCAATACAGTAGGAAAAGGAAGACATAATTTCAACCTAAGGAGACCTGCTGGCACATCAGTTAGGTGCGCACCCATGGGGCAGCTAGGTGAGTTCTCAGAATTCATCCAGCTGCCTCCCGGAAGAAAGGCCTGGTGATCTGCTCCTATAAAGATTACAGCCTAGAAAAGTTGTGGAGCAGTTCTGCTCTGTCCTGTTATGAGTCGGAATTGATTTGATGACTCCTAACAAAAGAATTAAAACCCGGATAATCTGGTTTGACTGTCTGTGCAGTGAACCACTCCACGGAAATGAGCTGTTGTCCTGGTCACTGGTTTTCAGTCATTTTGGGCACATACTTGCTAAAGGAAATTTGATGTCTTTTTAAATTGACATCTGATATGTTTCATGGATAAATTTAAGCTGTTGCAAAGAATTTATTTTGCACCGTGTTGGAAATATTGATACTATAAAACTGTTTCATCCCTCCTTATTGTTGATCTATTTTAATGCAACTAGCATAGTGACTTGAGATATGGTGCTGAGGGCTGATGCGTCAGACTGCAAAGTTGTTTGAACTGCAAGGTCAGTAGTTCAAGCTCACCAGCTGCTCTTTGGAAACCCTATACAGGGTCCCTATGGGTCGGAATCGACTCGATGGCACTTAACAACAAACCATCCATTTTGGAATCCTGGTGTGGGGCTGCAGGATAGTGCACTGAATCAAAAGGTCAGTTTGAACCGCAAGGTGGGCGATGCAAAGTCACCAGTCGCTCCTTGGAAACCCTAAACAAGGTCGCTATGAATTGGACCCGATTCAACTGCTCTTAACAACAACAACCATCCATTTTTAAAACACATGAACAACCTTTCTATAACATTATTCCTTTTTCTCTTCAAACTCTTAATTCCTTCCCCCAGTTTTATTCTATGTGTAATTTATTTTCAAGCCTCAAAGACTATCATTGAGCACCCTATCATACCTGTTTGCAACACAATCTATATAAAAATTGAAATTTATTAATTAAATTTTATAACCTTACTAAACAGGAGCTGTAGTATGATAAGCACTGGACTGCTAACAAAAGGTTGATTGTTCAAACCCACCATCCGTTGTGCAGCGGAATTGTGGGTTAACTTGTGTCATTGTTCATCATGACAGTTGGTTCTTCTGACTCACTGTGTCCCTGTATAGGGTTTCCAAGGTGTGGCTGGTGGGTTTAAACCACCGACCTTGCAGTTAGCAATCCAGTACTTATCCTACAGCACCACACTATGGTGGTGGCGGTTATGTGCCGGGGAGTCAGTTCTGACTCATAGCGACCCTGTACAGGGTTTCTGAGGCTGTAAATCTTTATGGGAGCAGAAAGCCTCATCTTTCTCCCACAGAACAGCTGGTAGTTTCGAACTGCTGACCTTGTGGTTCACAGCCCGATTCGTAATCATTACTCTACCAGAGCTCCTTGCACCACACCATGGAGTTATTTAAAACAACATAAATATATATTCACATTTTTATAAGAATTAAAATTTTATTGGAAACGCATCTCTTAAAGAGATTTCCCCCCCAATTAGTTCATTTATCTGTGGATGAATATAATTTGTTGTTAGAATAAAACAAAAATAAGCAAATTTTGTATTTTTCCTCTCCCCCCCCCCCTTAATTTGTTAAATGCTGTAGAGTTGATTCCAACTCATAACGACCCTGTATAGGATTTCCGAGGCTATAAATCTTTATGGGAACAGAATGCCTCATCTTTTCCCTGGTGGTTAGCTGTCCAGTGCTATGTTACATAATAGATGGATCTGGAAGGGACTTTTAAAAAACGTTTTCACTTATCAAGTTGCATGTTAAAAATCACAGTGATCACTGAAATTTGTAGTTAATGAGGGTGGTGGTGGTGGTAGTTGTGTGCTGTTGAGTCCGTTGGGACTCACAGTGACTCTGTATAGGGTTTCCCAGGCCGTAAATCTTTCTGCGAAGGAGCTGGTGGATATTATCTTAACAATTCAATACAATCCTTCGATTTTGTTGAAAACAAAGAACTGAAAACCATGTAAAGTGTAAAAAGTTGTTACCCGAATTTAGTCCTGCATTTTCTGGATTTCAAATTTAGCACGAATACAATTAGGGGTTCATTAACATATGCCTGGGGATGCGCTGCGGGAAGGGCAAGAGAACCGACAGAAAATCAGCGCCTAATGGAAGACCAACGTGAAAACTCGGGACTTTTCAGGAATGGGTAGGAAAGCCAGGAAAGGCCGCACCGAAGCTGGCGTGGTCTGCCCTTGGGACACTGGAGAGCAACTGCCGGGGTCCAAAGGGGCGTTGGGACGAGTGGGAAAGGCTGGTGGTGTCTCCCGTTTAGCGCAGGCCAGGCTACCAGGCCGCAGGGCTCATCATTAAGGCAGAATTTTAATTTTACTTGACAGCATGGAGAAAGGCCGCTCAGAATATGAGCTGCAGAGGGGAGGTCAGAACAGGTCACGCAAGAGGTTCATTCTCAGAGAGCTGGCCTAGAACTTGGAGGCCTGCTGCCCAGCAAAGTAGCCTCTATGCCACTCATGCCCCCGATTCACTAGCACTGCACCGTTATCTCTCTGATTGACATCTTTGTTAGCCAATGACCTTTGGACCAGAAACTGGGCGGGGCGAGAAGCTGGAGTGACAAAAGCGTACACCAATAGCGAAGAGGTTTTTAAAAACCTGGGCACAATTACCAATGAGGCGAAGGAATTGTTCAGAAGGACGTGTCAGACAGCCAACGGCTGGCGATGCTGTGGCTGTCGCGTGGCTTCCGTTCCGAGAGGGCGGGGCGGTGTCCCAAACGGAAGGTGGTGGTTGTCGGTGCCGAAGCTCGTTTGAAACTAGGGGTCGGGCTTGAAGCCGTTGTCTGTCGCCGCGGCCCCGCTTCCGGGCTAGGCTGTCTCTGCCCGCCCCGCCTCCCTTCAGACCCCTCGGTCCCAGGCTCGGCTCCCCGCCGGACTCGCACCCCGACCCGGCCCGCACTGCGGCCCTGCCGCCGCCACCATGTCCCTGCACGGCAAACGGAAGGAGATCTACAAGTATGAAGCGCCCTGGACGGTCTACGCCATGAACTGGAGTGTGCGGCCCGACAAGCGCTTTCGCCTGGCCCTGGGCAGCTTCGTGGAAGAGTACAACAACAAGGTGGGCCGGGCAGGGGCTCGGGACCCAGCCCCCACAGCCCTCCTGCGGACCTGCCGTAGCGTTCGCGAGCGGCTCCTGTGCGTCTGGCCCGGGGCTGAGGGGTTTGCACTCGTTGTCTCATTGAATCCTGGCGGCATTCCTGGGTACCCTCCACTGGAGTTACCCCCATTTTACTGATAGGGAAACTGAGGCACAGTGTGGTGACTTGCAGCGCTAGGCAACTATTTCGTGGCCGAAACAGACGTGACACCCGAGTTTGCACCCCAAAACTACGCCACTGATGACTCTCATCCCCCTCCCCTCCTGCCGCATTGCTTCAATTTGGGGGGGGGGGGGAAAGAATGGGAGGAAGTGATGGCCCGTGAGGGATAATGCAGGCGCTGCTGGTGGTCGTTCATTCTGACCACACTAGATTTCCATTAGAGCTGTTTCTTGCACAGACTTCCCGCCCCCTCCTCCCGCCCCCAGATAGTATCCATAGCGCCCCAAGCTTTCTGCCAGGAGTGCCAATGCCTTGCTGCCTGATAACCAACCATTCGTTCCAGAGCGATCTTTTTTTAGAAGACTCGGTCTGTGTTTCCTGGAAAGAGGACGACACTTTGCCTTACCTGTTCTTGGCTCCTTTCATGCTGATACGGATGGGTACCCTTGAATGGGAAGTCTTTCTGGTTATCCATCAATTTGAGAGGCTTTGTGGAAGCACAGGGAATTAGGGAAGCTTTTGCACTGTTGTTGATGGTGGTTGTGTGCCTCTGAGTCGCTTCCGACTCATAGCGACCCTGCGTAGAATTTCTGAAGCTGTAAATCTTTACCGGAGCAGAAAGCCTTCCTCTTTCTTCCGCAGAGCAGCTGATGGATTCGAACTAATGACCTTTCGGTTAGCAGCCCAGCTTGTAATCCACTATGTTACCAGGACTCCTTTTGCCGCATGTATTTATTTTCAGAAGTGGTTGAATAAGGAATTTTCTTTCCTTTATCCTTTAAGTTCTTCCTTGTATTGGAGTAAAAACTGTGATTGATGGGATCAGAGCACCTAAAAGCCTTGGCTGGTACTTCGGCCTGAACCAGGAACCCCAAGAGACTGAAGTTGTGTGGATAGTGACAGACCTACGGTCTGGTCATTAACTAGATGGGGGCCATTGCACCGGGCAATTTTATGATTTCTGACCCACTGTCTGTTGTAGAAAAGGGGCTCTTTTTTTTACATGTGGTGATCATGTAAAAAGCATTTGAAATGTTTGTTTCTTTTGTGCATAGTTTTTCAGGAGCACACCTGTTTCTCTAGAGTAGGTCTTAATTGCATTGGAGTCCCCGTTGAGAAAATGTTGAAAAACAATGGTGTTTTCATTGCCCAGAGAGTGCATATGCACAATTTACAAACCCCAAGAAGTACCAACTGCTCTTGAAGTCTCCCCATTGCTCACAGAAAGCAGAGTCCTGAATGAGACACAGCTTTATTTCCTTTTTATTCCTCGTGGAGCATAGCAGATGGCAGAGCTGGGAATGGAATGTAAAGCACGGACATGGAAACCACATTAGTAAAATTAAAACCACTTGAACAACTGACTGTGTAAGGGTGGTTGTTGTTAGGTGCCATCGAATTGTTCCGACTCAAAGCAACCTGCAGGGGGTTTCCATAAATCTTTGCAGGAGCAGAAAGCTTCCTCTTTCTTCCAAGAAAGTGGCTGGTGGGCTTGAACCCTTGACCATGTGCTGATCCTCTGGAGCCACTGAATTCCCCATTGTTTAAGGATACATGTTTTTTTGTTTTTGTTTTTTTAGATAAAAAGGTAAAATATGTCTTTCACACAAATTGATCATTTTGTTTTCATGCAGGGTTTTCCAGGGACTATTTGGGCAGGCAGCCGTAGTTCCGTTTCTAAGAGGGAAAGCTGAGTCTCAGGCTACCAGTGGAATCTGTGGAGTTGTTGGTGTTGGACATCTGTGCCCCCAAGTTTGTCCTTTCATTCAGAGACTGTATGGAGCACCTCCTTTGTGTCAGGTCCACAGACTGTGTGCCTGTAGTTGTTGTTAAATGCCATTGAGTTGGTTCCTACCCATATCAACCTTGTATAGGGTTTCTGAGGGACCTACTGGTGAGTTTAAACTGCCGACCTTGCAGTTCAAACCAACCTTGCGATCTAGTGCATTATCCCACAGTGCCACACTGCAAACCAGTAATCCCAGTAGTAACAGAATAAGCAGTTTACTTTATTTTAACTCTGAGTCCCTGAGTGGAACAAACAGTTAATGCGCCCAGCTGCTCACCAAAACATTAGCTATTGTAGTTCAGCAATCTGTCTCCAAAAACCAGCCTTTAAAGACTCCATGAACTATGGCTATCAAAACTTCTTTGAAAACTGGTGATATAGTAACGTTTACTTTAAAAATTAACTCATTAAATTATATCATCTGGTGTGGCACTGTAGGATAAGCAATGGATTGCTAACCACGGGATGGGCAATTCTAACCCCCCAGCCACTCCTCAGAAACCCCGTATAGAGTTGCTATGAGTTGGAACTGACATGACAGCACTTAACAAGAGTGTACTTGTTACCGTAATTTTGAAATAGTAATGAGGGTAAACAGCTTTTCGTAATACATTTAACAAATGTGATGTACAAGATATTAGTGCTTTCTGCTGGTGACAAAGTTACAAACACTGGTAATGCTGCTCTGGGTGACTGCCTCCATTTGTAAAGGAAAGAAATGGTAATTTTCATCTACAGAGTAGTGAAAATAAAATTTTCCAATCCGAGTTTATGGACCCTTCTCCTGTCCCGTCTCCAAAGTTAAGAGCCCTTGCTGTAGAGGATCTGTGCCTAAGGACAGTAAATTCCACTGGAAAGCATGGGTCCTTGGGCTACAGTGGTAGCTGACTTCACCTAGGGAAATTTAAAAATTAGTTGGTTGGAATTTTCAGACTTTTGACTCCTGCTTGCGGTGGATGGTGTTTGCCAGCAGAGGACAAACCAATGGATATAGACATTGAAGAAGCAGCTCAAAACTAGCTTGTGTGTGTGTGTGTGTGTGTGTGTGTGTGTGTGTAGACATTGATAATAAGAAAGCATCATTATAATTTTGTAGATTGTGTTTTATAACTGTTTTCCTGTAGTAAAATCATTCTAGTTGTGTGATGGAATGAAATCTGCTAACCTAGCAAGAACAGCGTGACTTCCAGGTGTGGTGGCATTGGAATGCATTTGGGAATCTCATTGCTGAGTAAGGAAACAGATTCTGGCAACTATATAAGGGGGCTTCAAAAAGTTCGTGGAGAAATGTACTGAAAAGATCAAGGCATTATTCCATGAACTTTTGAAGCCCTGTTCTAGGTAGATGTGTCTCCTGGCAGTTTTATGTGTGATCTCAGCCGCAGTGGTTCTCTACATTTCAAGCAGGTGGGAATATGAGGTTTGCATGTTCCTGGGCTCCTACCCTTGAAGTTAGCATACACTATGGAGCTCTTGTAGCATAGTGGTTATGAGTCGGGCTGCTAACTTCAAGGTTAGCAGTTCAAAACTACCAGCCGCTCCACAGGAGAAAGATGAGGCTTTCTGCTCCCGTAAAGATTTACAGCCTTGGAAACCCTGTACAGGGTCGTTATGAGTCAGAACCAACTCGGTGGCACACAACCACCGCTGTGACCATGGTGATTCAGAAGCAGGTGGTCTGGGTGGTGCTCCAAGAACACAGCCCTGGAGTTACTTTGAGATCTGCTGACTAGGGGTCAGAATCAGATCTCTGTGCATCTACATGCTCTTAACAGTGGTTCTTCCATCCAGGTTCACCCTTGAAAAAAACTCTATTACTGCCCTTTCTCACTGTGTGTGACCTCCACCAGTTAGCATGTGCTTCAGTTCCTCACCTGTACAATGAGAAAAATGAGTAATATGTACTTCTAGCTTAGAGGGTTGAGGAATTCTGCCGACATATAATAAGCAATATAGAAATGCTAGGTATTTCAACGTAATAACTGGTTTTGTTGTTAGCTGCTATTAAGTTGGTTCCCAGACGACAGAATGAAACATGACTGGTCCTGGGTTATTCTCATGATTGGTTGACGACTATACAATTGTGACCCATAGGGTTTATATTGGCTATTTTTTTGTTTAGTTTTTGTTATTGTGAGGGAGGAAGGGGTAGATAGCCAGGCCTTTCTTCCTAGTCTGGAAGTGCTACTGAAAACTGCTAAACCTCACAGCAACATTCAAGTTTTTATTGGCAAATGGATGGTGGCTACACATGAGGAGCATTGGTCAGGAATTGAACCCAGGCCTCCTTTATGGAAGGCAAGAATTCTATTACTGAGCCACCCAGCTTCATCATCATCATCATTACTGTAGTTGGACTTGGAATATAGAACGCCCTGAGTCAGAGTGGACTAGACAGCATCTGTTTGGTTTGGTTGGTAGATTTGACTTTGTATTAGCCACAGGAGAATAGGGACCTTCGGTCAGAAAGTGACCTCTGGAAGGTTATCATTGGGTATAGGTTTTAAAGACCCTGGGGAAGGAATTCCTTTGATCCCTTTTGACCAACCCATTTTGTGGCCTAAGTAAGAGAAACTACCTCTGACTTTGTTGTTGTTCAGTGCTGTTAAGTCGCTGACTCATAGTGACCCTGCATGGGGTTTCCAATGAGCAGCAGGTGGGCTTGAACTGCTGACCTTGTGGTTTGCAGTCCAGCGCTGATCCTACAGCGCCATACTCGGAGTCCAAAGTGACTATAGTGTGCTAGTTTAAGCCCATTTGCTCTTGTTCTACCTGGCTTAGACACAGCGATTCTTGTTTGTCTCTTGAGCTTTGACAATATCTGTGGTCTTGAGAAGGGACCCTGGTGTTGCTGTGGGCTAAGTATTGCAGGATCGGTAGTTCAAATCCACCAGCCTGTCTTCAGCAGAAAGCTGAGGCTGTCCACTCCCATAAATATTTAGAGTCTTAGGAATCCTATGTAGGGTGGCTATGAGTCATAGTTGACTTGATGACAGTAGAAATGGGTAT